AAAATGGCCACGGACCATGTGTCAGGGGCAGAAAATGGCCGCGGACCACGTGTCAGGGGCAGAAAAATGGCCACGGACCATGTGTCAGGGGCAGAAAATGGCCGCGGACCACGTGTCAGGGGCGGAAAAATGGCCACGGTGGATGTGTCAGGGGCAGAAAATGGCTGCGGACCACATGTCACGGGCGGGAAAATGGCCGTGGACCGGGTCATGGGAGGGAAAATGGCCATGGATCCTGTTCATGACCCGAGGTGGAGTTTGCGAACCGAAGCAAAATTTTGCGGCCGGAGCTGGTCGTCACCCGAAAAGTTCGTGAACAGAAGCGTTCGTAACCCGAGGTTCCACTGTAGATGGGATTCAACATACATAGAACTTCCACTGATACTTCAGGCATTTAAAGATGCTTGACACTCTGACTCGGGTCATTAAATGCAAGGTTTTCACTGTATCTTTACCTATGTACGAAATTGCAGGTGCCATCAACAGGATCAATAATCCAGGTTGGACTGTCATTGAGTATGCACTTTGAACCAGCGGCAGTAGCTTCTTCCGCAATAAACCTAACATTGGTATACACAAGACTCAAATAAAAAAACTTTGAATTAAAGCTGCACTTGAGGCAGTTGCAGGTATTCTGTTAAATAAAATGGGTTCCAACCTGAAGAGCATAAAAGGTTTTCCTATTACAGATGTCTTTAAATGCAGGAATCTAAAACATTGTGATTAAAGGATCTCAAGAAGGCTTAAGGGGCCTAAAGAACCTCTGTACACACACTAAGACCCTAATGAATGAGAAATTTACACATCTCCTGCGAAAATGCAGTGGCTGCTTCTTCATCTCACTCTGCAACATTCCTTCTTTGGCTGACAGCTGGAAGAACATTTACAGGGTGTGTAAATCACCGGCCTTTTCTTTGGACTATGTATACTTTATTTATTTTTGTGAATTAAAGCAAAATTAGCTCCTATTTCCTTTTGCAGAATATGCTGGGGGTGGGGTGGCTTAAAGGTTGGGAACGTAAGACTGTTTCCTGCAGCTCTTCAGAAAGTAGTCCCAGCCCACCCCTGTTGTACAGAATTAAAAAACAAAAACAAAACATGAACAATTGCCAAAAAAGCCTAGACTATAATCTTCTACAACTGAACTTTAAAGGAAAACTTATCTGGATTTAAGACAACAAAGAGAAGAGAATTAAAACAACACCACCACAATATAAATATAAATTGGCACACACCCATTTTAGATTAGTCTGAAAGCATCTCTGTGCCCCTAGCTGAGACTAAAATCCATGTATACTCTTATAAAGATATATGCTTTTACTGTACTCTGCAAGTATATGCAAAGCACTATAATCCTTGCTATGCTTTGGAAAACAGTATTCTTGTCACTATTTCCTCTAAATGTTCTCAAAAGGGGTTGCAAGGTTAATCATTATATAGCTATTACATTTCATAATTTAAGTGTAATACAAGGGCTAGAACCAAAGAAATACAACATTAAATCCCCAGTTATCTACTAAGCTCAAGGAGTGGAGAAGTTGGACCATGAGACTTTAAAATGATGTCACATGTATATATTGAGCGTATATTTAAAAGGTTACTGTAATCATAGATCAGTGTTTTTCAAACTTGACAACTTTTAGATGTGTGGAATTCTAACCCTGTGATTAACTCTCCTTCCAATTTTCAAACATAAAGTCAAGAAGCAAGAATGGGACTGTTGAAAAATGTGGCTCTTCCAACTGCTGTACCTCCACTGCTCCTGGCTCTGCTTTCATCTGATGCGGTCCCAGGGACAATTAATTTGGCCTCCTCTACAAATTTCCCAGCACGCTGGCAAACTCAGGGATGCGCACAACAGAAAAAGTCAAGTAGTCAATTGCTGGCAAGAATGGTAACTGGAAAATCATGGCTAGGTGTGGTTTTTCATATCTTTTGCCACATCCATGGATAAATCTTTCATCTATGGCAATGTTTTTCAAACTTGGCAGCTTTAAGATGTGTGGACTTCAATTCCCAGAATCCCCCAGCCAGCATGCTCAGAGGAAAACAGAGCAATGGAGATACAGTAGTTGTTAGAGCCACATTTTTCAACAGTTTCATTCTTGCTTCTTGACTTTATGTTTGAAAATTGGAAGAGTTAATCCCAGGGTTAGAATCATGGCTAAAATGAACAAACTTGCTTTAGGCCACTTAGACTTGTACAACTGAAGCAGCTTAAAAGCACTAAAATAAGCTAAAATAAGCTAAAATGAGCTAAAATAAAATAAAATAAAATAAAATAAAATAAACAAACCATCCATGCAATTCCCCTTAACCATAGTGTAACCCATGATACAGGTTCACACGGCACATGAAACCTAATTCCATCATGGCTCAGTGTGTTGTGAGAACCAGGTCATTTTGCTGGCAATGCATCACTACATCTGACAGGTGGCTCCTGCCACTCTGTACTCTCCAGCAAATGTATTGTCATGTGAAGCATGCTTGTTTCATTCAAACATATTATGTGTGAAGCATCCTTATTCACATAGTTATGATTTTCACTCGCTCAAAACACCACCCATAGAATAATGCCATGGCCAGACATACCTGTGAGAGGGAAATTTTTCTTTCAGTGCAGAAACAATTAAATTTTCTACTAAGTGATCCGTTTCAGTCACAAGATCTGCTGCAGATGTTTTGGTTGATACCCGCTTTTCCTCAGTGAGAGCTTTTCTAATAATCTAGAAAGAAAATATATATTGCTTTACAAATTGTTCCCATTATCTCTGAAAAACTGCAGCGTTAAATTCTCAATGGAAATAAATGATATATTTCTTAGTTGTGCACATAGGTAACTTCTAAAACAGTATCATGTATAGTGATATAATAGGACATCTACTTTATTCCAGGAAAATTCTGGTGCTGATTAACAGAATTGTCTTATTTTTCTGTTGAATTTTCTTCATTCATGACTGCTATTTAGAAGCCACATTTTTGCCTCAAGATTACGATGCCAATATTTTGTCATTGTTGTACATTATGAATTCAGTAAACGCTATCTTAACATCTCAACTGTGCTTCATTTTTAACAAGGAAAGGAGAGCCTATCAGAAGAAAATATTTTTGCACACTGTTGCAACTACATAAAATGGTCTGCTTTTGAGTTAAACTGAGTTAATTTAAGTTAAACTGAGTTAAATTAGGATTGAACTGAGTATCTGAACCTGGTCCTTTAGTGGTAAGTCAGTGTATAGTGACATCCTATAATTTTACACAGTCTGTATAGTGGATATTATCGTTGCTGAAATATAACTTAGAAAAATTTTGGCTTCTGTAAAACTGTAACATTTTCTAGAGGCCTAAAAAGATGGGCCAAATAAGATATACATGATACAAAAATACAAAAACTATAATTTCTTCAGTTTTTGCTCCTGTTTATACTGCCAAATAATACCTTTTAATCTTTTGCATTTTCTTTCAGAATAAAACATTAATTCAGGCAAAAACGACCATTGCAGAATATCCAGAAATGACTTGCAATAAGAATTCCTTTCTAAGAGCATGTAAGTAGAAATATTTTTAAAGTAAACTCAGGGGAAAAGGAATGTCTTTTTATAGAGCAAAGAGAAGTTAACCATGAATGAAAGCATCTGTTATTCCACTTTATCAGGATTGTAAAATAAGCACTTGGATTGTATAAAATCCCTGTTTAAAGAATTCTATGAATTTATGTACATTTACTTGACACAGTGATATTCCCATGGATTTCAAACAAGACATGTTTATTTATAATACTTTTATACTGTGGATTCATGGCTGTTTACAAAACTACTGTATATAAAACCATAAAAATGATTTCAACAATCAGTAAAAATAAATCCACTCCCAATTTGACATTCAGAGAACTGTGGAATAGCATAGCCTTAACTGCCCTCCAAAAGGCTGTCAGGGAGGTTATTGCTGGGAACTGACACTGAGGCTTACCCAGAACAGCATCATATTCGTGCTTCCCCCCTCCCCTTGAACTTGCATGATGGGGGAGGGGGAACTCTCAGCATTCCCCATCAGGATGAATAAATAAGCATAGTCAGTTCCACCTGAAGCAGGGGGTCCTGCAGCTGCCTAGACACCATGCAATAAAGGGTTTTACAGGTTAAAATCAACACCTTGAATTGTACTTAGAAGGCTACTAGAAGCTTACTAGAAGCTTTCACTCATCTGCAGATAGGCTTTTGCATTCTGCATCAACTACAGTTTTTAGGTAGCTTTCCAAGATGGCCACCTGTAAAACCTATCTCAGTGATTGATCTGAGAGGCGATGAAGACATAGATGATTATTGCCAGGACATCAGGCTCCAGGAAAGCCCACAACTGATGTATTAGCCAAAGCTGGGCAATCCCCTCCCCCAGCTATGGCTTCTATTTGCCTATATAGCTGTAGCTGTGTATGTAGGAGGACCCCAGGTCACTGAACTGCTCCTTTAGACTGAGTGCCTCCCCATCTTGAGTCATCACTGGGGGAGACAAATTGTGGATGGTTTCTGGGCAAGAAGCATATTTGTCTTACAGGGATTCAATCTTAGCTTGTTTTTTTCATCCAAATTCTAACAGCTTCCAGTGAGTCAGGAGTTGTATCTCCAGCCCAACCAATATTGTGTAATTTGATATAATCAGCACAATGGTGATACTGCACCCTGAAATGATGGATTACTTTTTCCAGCAGATTCATGTAGATGTTAAATTCATAGAAGGGCAGAGAGACAAAACCTGTAGCACCCCACAAATAGGCAGCCACCTGGACCACTTCTTTTCTTCTATTACCACCAACTAGGACCACCTACTCAGAAAGGAGCAGAACCACTATAAAACAGTGCCTCCATCTCCCAACTCTCTTAGGTGGTCTAAAAGAATACCATGATTGATGGTACTGAAGGTCTGAAAGAACCAGGGGGAGTACACTCCTCACTTCCAGATCCTGATGTAATTCTTCCCTCAGACTAATATGGTATCTGTCCCATGCCCAGGTCTGAGTCTTGACTGATTAAGGTCCAGATAATCCTCTTCCTCTAGGGTTGTCTATAGCTGAAGTTCTACCACTCTCTCTACAACATGAAAAGAGAAGCTGGAGACTGGGCAATGGTTGTCAGGATTGGCTGTGTCTAGGGAGGGCCTCTCCAGGAAAGAGTGCAGCACTATTAGGACGAAGGGCACAATCCCCTTGTTCAGTACAGGTAGTCCTTGCTTAACAACCACAATAGGGACTGGAAAATTGTTTGTTAAGCAGGGTGGTCATTAAGCAAATCACCACGTGACTGGATCTGATTTTATGACCATTTTGCAATGGTCATTAAATGAAACACATGGTCATTAAGCAAACCCAGCTCCCCCAATGGATGTTTTTGTCAGAATTCGCTTAACCATGTGATTCGCTTAACGACCATGGTGATTCGCTTTACGACCATCATTAAAAAGTCACAAAACATGATCACATGACCGTGGGGTGGTGGTGCAACAGTCATGTGAGTACAGGTCATAAAGCACTTTTTCCGAGGCCATTGTAACTTCAAACTGTTGTTAAATGGTCATTAAGGAAGGACTACCTGTAAGGTATTGACTACTGAGCCCCATGCACCCTCCCATGCTTCCCAAAGAGCCAGATGAAACATGGATTACCATACAGCATATTGCCCAAATCACCCTATCCACTTCTTCAGAATTAACAAGCTGAAATGAATCCTAGTTACCCTCACAAGATGCTAATCCAATCATGACCCCACTTGTGCAGGGTCCAGGCCAAAGGGAATTAAAGCAATTTTGTGTAAGAAATTTTGCCCTGGGATCTCATGTGGCTTTCAGAGAAAGGTTTCTGCTTCCTGCCCCTCAAAAGGATGCAGGTAACCCTAAAGAGGGCTACAGAGCCACAATCTGTGATCACAATAAGAAGCATATTTTGCCACCCTTACGTGTACAGTGTAGTCCCAAATATGAGCAGTTACTTGTGTCTAGTTCAATCTGCTCTTGGTTTTCCTCCACTGGTACTCCAGGTATCTCTTCTGCCACCTGATCTCCCAGAACTGGCACACAGGAATAGCCCAGAATGGGCTTGCAAGGAGGGGCTGGTTGAGGGCGATTTCATCAAGTGCTCTGGTTACCTCAATATTCCAGAAATTGACCAGGCATTCAAAAGAACCTCCTACCAGATTTCAGGGAATATCCCCAAGGGCTCTCTGGAATCCACTCAGATTCATTAGGCACTGGACCAGACCATCCAAATACTGCAGGTCCTTCCATTCTGCAGAGCCTCTTGGCAGTGATGAGTCTCATAGCAAACAGGGAGCAATCTGATTACAGCAAAGGATTTAATCTTTATCCTCCAATATCAGATGGTATGTCAACTGGAGATAAACACCATATATAATGTATGACACCTTTGTCCATTGGATTCAATGTTTCCTAGAGCTGTCATGAACTCCTGAAGTCCTGAAGCCTCATGGTATCCTCCCTCAGAACATGGAGCCTGAAGTCCCCCAAATTAAAAGCAATGAGCTCTCCACCTCCTGCTCTGTAATGAGCTCCAAGAGATCACAAAAAGACCTAGCTATGCAGCAAGGTATGCAGTACACAAGCGAAGTTCCTAGTTTGTCCTAGTTTGGTCCAAAATCACAAATAGGCATTCACAGCTTGTCACTTCCAGACCAGGCCTCCTGGTCACTACTGAATTATCCCAGACAATCATTGATACCCAATTTACCTATTATGGGATCACAGCTAATGCAGGACCTAGAACACAGCAGAGCAGATTTCCAAGAGGGCAATATCACAACTCACTTTCAACCCCAGGTCCCAGTAAATATATGCCAGGTGTGCATACCAGGTATGCATGCTAATTCCACAACCAAATGGTAGAGAAATATGGTCTTATTCTGTACAGATTTGGCATTAACCAGCAAAAAATGTTCCTGGATCTGAGGAAGCTGGTCTCTTTTAAGTGTACACAGTATTAAACTCAATGGGACATATAAGAACACATGCATAATAGGATATTCAGGTTACCCAACTTCTATTTGAAAGGCCACAAGTAAAATCCAGTTCATGCACAGTCATCAGTTAACCCATCACAATTTTTAAAACATTTTTATTGCTGTCATCTTTCAAGAGATAAAAGAACTTGTCAGAAATATACAGGATGTGCAAACCACATTTCCTCCTCCCTACTATTGCTAAAGAAAGGTAGCAACTTAACTTGGGTTTCAGCCTCAGGCAACTGCTTTAAGCATATACTATTAATAGCAAGCAAACTTTGCCCTATAAAACAACAAAAAAGAGTTGCAGTAGTTGGCAACTCACCACTTTAAGAAACTAAAACAAATGATATTGACCAGACTCTTTGGCTCATGAAGTGTACCATCTGACAGGCACAAAGATCAAAGACATGACAAAACAAGGTTGATCAAATCCACTAATAATTATCACTTCCTGCTAATACATGTGGGGACAAACAATTCTGCAAAAACCAGCTACAACTATATCACAACAGACTTTGAAAATTTAGGAAAGAAGCTCAAGATTACTAGGGCTCAGTGATATTGTCATCCATCCTTCCAGTTCATGGAAAAGGACTGTAAGGGGAAAGAAGAATATAGGTAGTCCCCAGTTTAAGAACCAGTTCTGTTCCCAAGGTTTATCCTTAGGTTGAATTTGTGTGTAAGCTGGAATAGTATCATTGTATAATACTGTATAAGTAGTATTGTGTATTTAACTCGAATTTTGCTACAATAGGCTCTGTTCTTAACTATGGATCGCCTGTAAACTGGGCATTCTTAACCCGGGGACTATCTGTATTGTAAATCAGTGAATGGCTATACAAATGGTATCAGTGGGAGGTATTTGATTTCTGGGACCTTTGTTTGATTTATCTAGATGACAGACTATTGGCACAAGATGGGTCACACTTCCCTAGGACTAGTAAAATTGTATTTGGCCAAAGAATGATGGATGGAAACAAAAATCTGGAAGGGCCTCATATAAAGGCTTGTGCATTGTAAGAAGAATGAGTGTTGCTGAAATGGGGCCCTTTAAACCCTTCAAAGAAAAATCAGAATGAAAAATAAAGTTCATGGTCATTATTGTCTATACATTAATGCTGAGTATGGAAAATAAGACAAGCTTGGGGTCTCAGTATAGAAAGTCAAATATGATGTAATAAGCATAGCAGAGATCTGGTAGGATGACTTTATCACTGTAAAGTCAAATATGATTTAATAAGTATAACAGAAACCTGGTAGGATGACTCTTATCACTTGAACAGAGCAGTTGAATGACACAATTTGTTTGAAAGGAACAAAAGCAATACAAAGGGAGGAGAGCACTCTTATTCTTGTTCAAAAATCAACAAATAAAAGCAGCACTTTGTGGTGTTCGCTATTTTCCACCCACGCAGAATTATACAGCTATCTACCTGCAATGCTTTAATCTGGATTTGTACACAGAGCAGGAGGCTGGATGCAAGGGCATAAATGACTCCTTCCAACCCTATGATACTGTATTCCATCATTACAGGCCCCCTCCCCAATAAGGTTATTCTCTTTTGCAATAGATACTATCACTATGTAATACACAAAAAGATTGGTTGATTTTAACTCCTCTAAGATGTTACTGTTTACTGGACAGTTTAAACTGAAGAAAAATTAAAATAAGAAATATTGTGATCAATTTGAACACATACTTGTGATAGAAAATTATTCAGGAAGTTCAATAGCTTTACTTGGAGGAACAGAAATATAATGTAATCATAAACAGGACAAGCCTTCTCAATTTCTACTCAAACTTAGTGTGCCAATGCAAAAAAATTGATGTAGGAAGAAAAGACTTATAAAAACATACAGGACAGAGTTTATTACCCAAATGACTATTACTAGTCTTTATTTATTTCGGGCACAGAGGTTATTAGTGACTCTCTTATCTTTCCTGTTACTATTTTTTAATGCATAATTTCATACTGTTAAGAGTTCAGTTTTAAAAGCAATTAAAAGCTGAAATACCACCCTCAACCATGAAAACTCATTGGATGACACCAAACTGAGAGACAGTCTATTTCACAGAGTTGTTGTGGAGAAAACTTGAGAAATTCACCATCCTGTCTCCTGGAAAAAAGGTTGCATATAGATCAGGGTTCCCCAGAGTGTTCAGTATTGACACCCAAGAGTCGATGGGACTACCTATTGTTATTATTAACTGTAGTATTATTGGTTAAAATAGTATTTATTAAATTATTTTCATAAAATAAATGTTTTGGGGGGTCGATGAACAACCTGCAACTTCATGAAGGGGTCAATGAGCTGAAGAGTTTGGAAACCCCTGTTATAGAACTAT